TTGTTTATTGCTTTTTACATGCTTAACAAAACAGTCTGGCTGGCAATCCATTAGTGTTACACAGACTTCCCGTGTCCAAAGAATAGTAAAAAAATTTGCATTTCCACTTTTGAAAAATGCGAAATCTAAAAATTTCTCTTTGTGTAACCTTCTTGATAGAAAATAGAGACTTAAGATTCAAAGTATTTTATTCTTAAGAGATGTAAAAAGTCAGACTAAATTGAAATAAAAATGAAAATGTCAAGATACAAAATATTTGATGGACTTTGAGGTTATTATGCTAAGTGAAATAAGTCAGACAGAGAAAGACAAATACTGTATGATTCACTCATATGTGGAAGATAAACAAACAAGCAAACACATGGATACAGAGACCAGGTTAGCAGTTACCAGGAGAAAAGGGGGTGAGGGGAGGGTGAAAAGGGCAGAGGGGCACATGTGTATGATGATGGATGGCAACTACACTTTTGTTGGTCAACACAATGCACACGATGCAGTCTATACAGAAGTTGAAATATAATGATGTACACCTGAAGTTTATACAATATTATAAAGCAATGTGACCTCAATAAAAAAATAAATAAAATAATAAAGTGCCATATCTTAGACAATTTAGGTGGAAATAAAGATGATATGCTCTGGAAAATTATTAGATAATATAATATCATCAAGTTGAAGACACTGGCATCAGAAATTAATGCGAAGAGTTTGAATAAAATTGTTTCATGAAATGTAAGAGTGGGAAAAACCATATTTCTAAATTAGTAAATATCTTAATGTAATGTTGATTTTGAATATGTGTGGTTAAATAATATAAACAAATTATAAGTGGATATTGAAATAACTTATCTATGATTATCAAGGTTTATAAATTTAAGTTGGCAGAGTTTTTTCTTTTTTGGTTTCTTTTCATTAAGAAAATATAGAATCAATATATATCCCAAGTCACCTTATATTTGGCATTCAGACATGTCCCCAGGCACATGACTTTAGTGGTTATTCCACTAATATCGTGGGGAGTATTAATAAGAACAGAGATACAAATGTGCTGAAAGATGTACCCTAATATTAGGAGGAACCAATCAATGGCCCAAAGATAGCTCCCAAAGAGAAAGTTCCTCATCCCATATTCTCCATTGTCATTTATCTCAAGGGAACTTTTTGCTGCCATAATGAACTCTCTTTTCCTTTGTGGACTATTTTTATGCTTTTAGGAGTCACTGATAATGATAGGTAAGGATTGGAAAGCATTTGGGGGATAGCTCTAGATATGACAATACTTAAATGAATAGATAACCATGGAAATAATTTTATGTCAACAGTCGTCAGTGTGTTAGCTACAAATTGAGATTGTCTGTTGTCTGACTCATGTTATACTACATCATACACACACACACACACACACACACACGTGCTTCAGTCTTAACTATGCATAAACAGATAATGATCATCAGTAAATTTTCCAACATAAATGACAGAGACCAAAACAAGCTGACAAAACAAAGTCAGAGGAAACAATGGCAATGCAGAAAGCAAAAGAAAACTCCAAAAGGAAAAGAAAAACCCTATAATATCTTCATAGAGATGGAAAAAGATATTGCATCTATGAAACAAGAATATGACACTCTCAAAATAAAATAATCAGAGAATAATAAGTAACTTTGAAAATTAGGGATGAGAAACCTAATTTAAAACAAAATCTGTAAGTGATAAAAAGTAAATTTTGAGGAAATCTCTCAGAAAGAAAAAGAAAATAGGAGAGAAAAGATAAGAATATTAGAGGATCTATCCAGGAGATCCAATATCTGACTAGCAGCAATTTCAGACAAAAAAAGCAGAGAAATTGAGAAGAGAAAATAAAAAATAAAGAAAATTTCTGGGAGCTGGCCCTGTGGCTGAGTGGTTAAGTTCACGTGCTCTGCTTTGGTGGCCCAGGGTTTCGCTGGTTCAGGTCCTGGGAATGGACACGGCACTGCTCATCAGGCCATGCTGAGGCAGCGTCCCGCATAGCACAGCCAGAAGGACCTCCAACTAGAATATATGGCTGTGTGCTGGGGAGCTTTGGGGAGAAGAAGAAAAAAAAGAAGATTGGCAACAGTTGCTAGCTCAGGTGCCAATCTTTAAAAAAAAAAAGAAAATGTCCTAGAACCAAAGGATATTAACCTCTAGATCAGATTTTTTAAACTTGGGATCCACAGACTCTAGAGGGGTTCAGGGTTAGAATTTAGAGGTTTGTAAGTTTGGATGGGAAAACTACATCTTTATTTTCTTAAATATTTAACTGAAATTTAACATTTCTTTCAATTATTAATCTAAGTTACAGGCCACAGGAGTGTCAGCAGTACTCATGACTTTGTTACCAACAGAAATCATGGATATTTTTATATTATGTTATAGTTGATCAGATATCTTGAAAAATTATCTACACTCATCGCTTCTTCAAAATTATAGTAGCTATTAAACAAGTCTTTGATTGCTATCTTCCCATATAAAAATACTTATGCAACATGGCTGGCCAACATTTAGGCAACTCTGCACCAAGTCGTCTTTCAACCACTGAACACTGAAGTTGCACGTTCTTGCACTGGTGACCCTGACTTTACGTGGCTTTCCAGTAGTTCCTATCCACAATTAGTTGTTAGCCAATATGTGGAAGGATGTGAGTTAAAGATAACCCCATGGTGTAGTGTTGCTATTTAGGCTAAGACATGACAGTGTCCATATTTACTCATATTCAGCACTTGCTAACTCATATGTTAGATGAATTGTGTTATTTAATGTGATAATAAAGAAGCACATATGTTACTTCATCAAATAAAAATATTTTGAAAATTGTACTTCCTTTTGTATTCCTATGTATTTTATTTTATGCATTTAAACAATATTCATAGCCTTCACCAGACTGTAGTCAGTGTCCATGGCTCTCAAAAAAGTTAGAATCTATGCTCTTGATTGAAATAACTCATTGAATGTTCAGTATAATAATGTCCATCATAATAAATGAAGCAAGACCCTTCCCATGATTGTGGCTTCTCAGGGCACCAGACATAAAAAAAGATTTTGAAAGGTTCCAGAGAGAAAATAAAGAACAATACAAAGTACAAAGACAGAATTAGAATGGCATTGTGCATCTCAGTAACAATTTTGGGATCTAGAAAGCCATGGAGCTAATGTCCTCAAAACTCTCTGTGAAAATGATTACCTAACTAAAGTTCTTTACTAAGTCAAAGTATTAATTAATTGTTAGGGTAAATAAAGAGATTCACAGTTCCCAAAAAAGTTTACCTCCCATGCTCTCTTTCTCAGAAAATTACTGAAGGATATGCCCTCCCAAAAGGAAGAAGCAAACGAAGAAAGAAGTCCTGGGATCTGGGACACAGTAGGCCAAACCAGGAGAGCTTTGAAGGGGATCTTCAAGGATGAGAGTGAGCAACAGGCCTTGAAAACAGTCAGTCTGGAACAGAGAAGAGATGGAGGGCTCCAACAGAAAAAAAGAAGTGAAGTTAATAGAATTGAATTGAACACTATTTACAGAATCATGAGAGAATGTGGAGACAGACAGAGAATGGAAGGAAAAAAACCGCTAAGAAATATGAAAATAAGGCAATGATTAAACTCTAGGAAAGACAAAAACAAGTAAGAGGTGAAATATAATCATAATATACTATTTAGCTTAGTGATGAACAATATTTATATAGTCATAATAAGGAAAATTGAAAGGATTTAACCTAAATTATCATACAACTATATTGGCAAGATGAGGAGAGGAGAGAGGATGAATAATAAGAGTTAAAATGTTACTTCATAATAGGCATCAATAGATAATGTTAAACATGAAGAATAAACAAAGGATATAGACTTCAGAAATATGGAAGTAAATATCAGAAGAAATAACTGAAATGGTTGAAAGTGTATGCTTCCAAAGAATGGAATGAGGAAGAGGGTAGGGAGCCTGAAAACTGTTGTCTGTTGGTTCTAACTCTTCTAACAGTATTTGCATTTTTAAACTAAGTGCATATATTTCTTGGATAAAAATAATTACTCAAGAGAGCCTTTATTACAAGCATGTTTTGGGGAAGTTAAAATATAAATGACAGAACTTTAGTAATATGTTTTCCAAAGAATTTGCTATATATGAAACATAAACTCTCATTGCTTAAACACTAGTTTAAGTTAAGCATTAGTTTGATTTAAACATTGTTTGAATTAAACAATGATAAATTCCCAGCCTTATCTTGGTTAAATAATTCCATAAATAATTAAATAAAATTTAATAAATACATTTTTAAATTTATGTATAAACTCCATGTTTTAAATTATGATGTCAACCAATGCCAATGATGATTCTTAAAAAATTTTTTCTTTTATTAGAGCTATAACTCTTCTTCATAAATGCTCGTCTTAATCCAATATAAAAACCAATAGACTTTCACATTTTAATTAACCTCGGAAAGACTACTGCCAATAGCTTATGATTTCAGTTGTGCTTTTGAGAATTTTGAAAAGTTTGAGAATCTCCTTCTTTATTTTTATTATTTTGTTTTACTCCTATTTACTCCTGAAATTTGTAAGAATTTGTTTTTATAAAAAGTTTGCTTTGGTGCCCGAAAACCAATATTACTCTCATAGGCTTTATACTGAGTATCTTAAGAGTAAAAGTTATTAAAATATACATTTGACTCTATCGAGACAGCAGTGGTAAAACAGAGAGACTATAGGTGTAGAGACAGAACATCTGAAATCAGATTTAAACTCTGCAATTTACTGGCTGTTCTTGGTTTCTGTTTAATAAATGGTACATTTTTCTGAACTATACTTTTAGATCTTAAAATGAAGATATGTTTCAGGGATGCCATGAGCATTGAATAAGATAACATGTTAAAGAACTTTGACAGTTATTAACCCTCAAACAAATGTGAAATATTTAAAATTAATATTCCCCTTACTGAACAGGGGGTTCTCCTTGCTCTGGGATCCTTGCGTGATCCTTCGTGACCCCCGAGGCTGCTGGGAACTCACCGAGGCCGGGGACAGCTCTGCCTCAGGCTTCATGAGCAGCACACTTTGGTCCACGGCCCGGAGGGCGCAGAGGGACTGAGGAGAAGCTGTGACTCGCAGGTGGGTGTGTGAGGCCGGGAGACTCTGTGTTGGGTGGAAGCTCAAATCCACCTGTGAGAAAGGGTAATCATCAGGTTAGAAAGCTACCTGGTATCACCAGCCTAAAACCCTTCACATTTTTTCAGTCATTTGCCTATTCAACATACATCTGTTTTGCTAAATTATGATTGTCAGAGAGTTAGTCCTGAGGGTCTTTGCTCACTGAGGTTTATTGAGCAGTTAGTGTACAAGCCAGTTTATGCCGGAGCAACAGATGAGCACCGGGAGTGATACATATTCTTGTTAATTACTTATTTTTACTGACCAGTTATATATTTGCTTCAGGTGAAATGTCAGTCATTCTAATAGTATAATATAATTATCAATTATCTATCTGTCTGTCTATCTATCTCTTTACCTATGCTTCTCCTCTCATTTCAGGGGAATGAAGTGAACGGCTCTTGACTGGATGTGTTTTAAGGGCAGCACAATGTGATTGAAAGGCACTGATTGAAGCAGTAAAAAGTGGAATGGTGGTTGCCAGGGGCTGGGGAGAGGGGAAAACAGTGGGCATTAATCAAAGGGTACAAAGTTTCAGTTATATAAGATGAATAAGTCCTAGAGATCTGCCGTACAGCATATAGCCTTTAGTTAACTACACTGTATTGTATACTTAATAATTTGCTAAAAGGATAGATCTTGTGTTTTTATCACACACACAAAAAATAATAAATAAAGAGGATGGGACTTAAAAAAAAGTGCACAAATCAAGAATTGGGGGACCTGGATCCTAGTTCTGGTCTTGCCATTAAATTATTTTATGACTTTGCAATAGTTACTAAGTTATTATTGCCTCAGTTTCTTTGTCTATAAAATAAATTATGTCCTTCCTACCCTCACGTCTCTTTTTTTTAATTTTAGGAAATAAATCACCTACCTTGTTGGGCAGACAATTTTCAACTTCGTATTTTGCAAAGTCCCCAAACACTTCCCCATCAGGTAAAATGGCATAGAGGAGCAACTGAGCGATAGGAGCGATGTCTGACTCCACAGGGACTGACATGGAAAAATGGCCTCTCACTGGAGCACAGAGAGAATGAGATGGAGTGGTTAGGGGCCAGGATACTGACAGGAAAACCTGGACACATAGGGATTTGGGGACCTATATCTTCACATTGATGTTTCTGCATCTATCCATTGTTAATGGCCTGGGTGTTAATGGTTAATGTATGAAAAGAGTAGTGCAGGATATCTTCCACTAAGAAGGTTTACTGTTGAAAAGTTTGTCCATGTTATTTATCCTTTCTGACCAATCATATGGTGATTTCCTATCTGGTTGAAAGCTTAGCAAGCCTAAACATCATTAGCTAGAAGTTATTGTTTATATCAAGTAATGAAACCACCTTGATTGTCATTACATTTATAACTCAGATAAGAGGAGGGAAAATAAAAGATGATAATCTGGCAGTGGTGAAACTCAGAGATGGAACTGGAAATTATAGACTCTTTTAGTGGAACAATCAACACTTACAAATACACATATGCTTATTTTTTTCTTTAGTGAATGTTTATTGCTCATTTAGTTGGTTTATTGACCTTGTGGCTTATTTTTTAAAAAATCTTTTGTGTGAACCAATTTTCAGAGGGCTTATATTTTTTGAGTGAAAATTATACTCTATTAGAAGTCTCTATTGTTTTAGGCCAACCTGAGGCTATATAATCTCTTAATAATGTACTTTATGATTTCTATTTAGCTTTTTAAAAATAGCTTATTTGAAACTTTTGTTAAATAACTAAATGATTGTTAAAATTGGGCAACAACAAGGAGGTCAACAAATTTGTGCATCTACTATTTACCAAGCACTGCTCTAGGCAATTGGTACATATCTGTGAAACAAAACCAACCAAAATCTCTGCCCACATCCAGTTTATATTGTAGTGGAAAGACAAAGACAATAAATCAACAGAATAAATAAGTAAATTATAGATAATATGTTTACATGTTATAAGTGCTCTGGAGAAAAACATAGGGCAGGGTAAGGAGAAAAGGACATTGGGAATACCAGGGTTGAGTGGTAAGTTACAATTTTAAATAGGGACATCCAGAATAGGCCTAATTGAGGAAGTGACAATTGAGTCAAGCCTTGAAGGAGGTGAGCGAACTAGCCATGTGGATACTTAGGGGAAAAGCATTCTTAAAGAGGAAATAGTAACAAGGCAGGAAGAAATACTTGGTGATTTAAGAAGATGCTTATGTTTATTTGAATAAAATTCAGGGGGGCTTTTTAAATAAACATGAACAAACAAGACACACATTTCACTGACATGAAAGATCATGATCGACATACACGTGGTGGGAGAATATCTAATCTGCATTAAATTCCCCAACTTTTTATTCCTCTCTAAAATCTTTCTATTTCAGTCTTCCATCTATTATGCTTTATAGTTCTGTTCTTCCTCGTCATTTTTTATCAGTCAAAAATTGATGTGGCCAGAATGGTCAAATTCAAAGTGAACGGCCTCCAGATCTTATTGGAAAAAGAAACTGAAATGACACATCTTACCTTTTTGATGTTAATCCTAGTATGACTACATGGATTATTAATTTTAGGTATATGTAGGAATATTTTATATTTTCAGATATTCTAGCCCCAGTGATAAGTGTTTAATATTGTTGGTGATGTTCAGTTTGAGATGTTTGAGAAGTTTCCGTCTTTGAGTTAATGATAGTATAGCCTACATTAGGCAGTGGAGCATTGAGCTATGGCTGTTGAGAATGTAATGTTGATACACAAGAAGCATCATAGCATCCCTATTTTGCTCAATTGTTGGGGATCCATTGGTGAGTGTCTAGGGAGTTCAGTCAGAGATGTATTGGTAAATTGGGAACACTCACGCTTTCCTGGCTCCAGGGGGAGAATATGGACTCCAGTTCGGATAATGCTGCCTTTGGCCATGATCTTAAAATAAAAGTTATTTTCTCAGTTTATCACCATACTTATCATGAGGCTTGTCCCCCATTAACATACTTATCATTGAGACCCAGGTGGTGATATCTAGCCCAATGAAAAGTCAAGGTATCAAAAGAGGCATGGTTAAGAAATGAAAGGATTTCATAATTTTTGGCCTCATATACACCTTTCTAATCCTCCACTCAAGAGTCAATACTTACCAGGTAATAGAAGACGAGCTCCTTCAGCTCCCCCAAGACCTGCCCATTCAGAATATAGTGTGCCTGAATTGTATGAATTTGGCCACAGGGCAAGGGACCAGCCACAGCCTCAAGGTAGACATAGCTTTTGCTTAAGGAGAAAACATGATTAGCAGTGTGGTATGCTTGCTTATGTTTTTCTGTCATGCAGTAATAGTAGCTAAAACAGGGACTCTGTTCCTTGTGGTAGACCTGGAGAAACAAAAAGAAATGCTACTTTGTAGACAACCTGTTACAAACAACGTCTCTTCTAAGCTGGATAAGCTTACTCTCCCATATGATTGAATAGTTACAAATTTTGTGCTTCTTAGTAAAAATGGGGGAAAAGTCCCCCTTATGTTGATTAAATGATCTAATTGACAGTATCCATGATTTTCAGAAGATTTTGAGGAAAGTATTTATACCTTTGAATAGAGAAAAGTGAACCGTATCTTTCGTATAGACTGTTTATCTAGACAGACCAGAACCAAAGGAACTAGGAAATCTCATTGAGGAGAATAATTGTGATAAATCGATAAGGTGATCTTCAGCAAGTAGATGTCTCTATCCAGCTGGGTTTATTAAGTTGTATAAATGAATGGCAAAACCTGTGCATGGGTAAAAGTTACCCCTACTGTGATACTCTGGACTGATCATGGAAGGTCTCTGCAAGCTCTCTGCAGGAGTGGTTTGAGTGAGAATTTTATCTATGCTCTCATGTAGTAGTTGCTCTTTCATACTTCAGGATTCATGTTTCCCATTTACTAACCCCCCCCAGAAGACTTTCTCCTCGCTTTTCCTCTACTTGGTTCATACCTTGATTATAACACTCACAGGTATTACAGTAATACTTAATGGAGCTTTCTACCATCAACGATATGAGCTCCATGAGAATATGAACCATGATTATTTTTCTTACCAGGCACTAGCACAGTCCCCAGTACAGGCAAATATGCAGTGGACATTTGTGGGTTGAGAAAATGAACATCATATTTTGAAGTAATGAATTTGAGAATACGTGTGTCGTCTATCCTTGATTAAAGAAATAAAATATACTCTCTTACCCTTCTTTGTTTGAGGGTATCAACTTGAGAGATATAGAGCAGAACGAAAATAAAAGGAAATTATTTACTGGGAATATAATATTTAAAAGAATATCTTTGTTGTGTGGCAGTTATTTCTCTAGTCCTTCCCCTGGTACCTTTATTATTTATCAAGAACTTCTTGTATTTCACCCTAAAATACGACAACTTGGAATATGAATTTCTTCTCCTTGAGCTAAGCACGATTGGGTTGCAGCTCTGCTACCAAGGCTTCTCCTTGTTTCTTACGTCCTCACTTCCAGACTTACGCTGACAGTGAGGGAGGAATCCGTAACGTTAGTGGTGTCGATGGAGAACTGCACTAAGCCATGCTCATCGGTGGTAGCGTTGGAGGAATAGTTAGCTTCATTTGCTTGGATGGAGATGAGTTCATCTGGGATAGGGACTCCCTTCCCATCCACTAGGCATACCTATAATAGAACAAGGAATAAGCTGTAGATTCCATCTGACGATACCACCCATAAGGAATACAAGAACCAAACCCTTTTTTGACATTGTCTAAAAACTAAACATTCCCCCATTCCCCCAACTCTGCTTTTTCAGCTTGGGGCTTTTGACCTCTCTCAAATGTATATCATTGAAAATCTGTGTTTTTTTCCATTAAGAGCAGAGTGGTGTATGCTAACTGTACTGGGAGTGATTTAATGTGTCCATAGAATCAAATTATAGAATTCTAGGAACGAAAAGTAACTTAGACAATCATTTTCTCTCTCTTTTAGTGGTAAGCCATGCAAAAAACTCACCAGAGAAGATTTTTGTTGGACTTTGACAAATTCGTTAATCATTAATTACTGGTAACATCAAGTGGTAACATTTTCTTAGTATTTGCATTTCTAATGTTTAATATATATTTATTACATAGAAAGTAAGGGTTGTAGCCTTAAAGCCATATAAGTGTATCATACTTTCCTGTGCTTCAAAAGAAAACCACTTACTCACGAATGAATTTATTGTTGAAACTAAGAGTGGCAGATGCACTGAGATACTTATAAGAAAAGCAGTAAAAGGTATTTGTGTTAGTGATTAGAGATATTGAATAATGTATACCAAGAAGTGAAGGTTAGAGACAGTGTGGATTTATTTTGAACATTTAAGTCCTGTTATTTTGCAAGAGAAACACAATAATGCTTTGGGGTTTATAGATTTCATGAGCATTATTTATAAGCAAAAAGATCTGGTTGTATGTGGTTTTGTGATTTTGGTCTTATGAAGCAATTGATCATTTTAACTAGGTGTGATCTTGAGCGGGAAGATCTGTGTTGTGTGTCACAATACAATTTAACTATCTCTGAAATATAGAGTACTCTACCTGCCCAAAGAATGGAATCCCTCGTCTAAAGTGTGAATCCACTTTCACAAATGTGAGTTTTGTTAGAGTTCTTGTGACTTCAATTGTCCCAGTTCCAGTTAATTCCAGCTCTGAGGAAAAGGTTGAAACAAAACAAAACAAAAACAATATCTCTTGGAGAGGAACCACTTGCTTTCAAATTATTTTTCTACTTCCTTCTCCCTGCCCTCCCGATGATGAAAAGGCATCAA